AAATTGATCTCTATAATCACAGAGGTTAGGTAGCTAGAAAGAGACTAGGGGATCTTCCAAGGTGAGGAACTAGAGTATACTGCTGTAAAGAGAGGGAGGGGAAGCTGGAATTAAGTGGGGAGAAAAATGGGAGGGGAGGGCAAAGGGGGAAAATGGGGAGGGACAGCTAACATTAAAGGTCTTTTCTCAACAGCCATGGTTAAGAATTCTCTTTCAATATTGATTTTTCTGTTTCCCTTTTTTTAATTATATTTTTTATTGAGATTTTAATATAATTATACCATGTCCTCCTTCTCGTTCCTTCTCCCAAACTGCCCCAGGTTACCTCCTTTCAATTTCATGGCCTTTTTTCTTTAATTGCTGTAATACATATACACACATATATGTATACGTGTATGTTTGTGCATATATAGAATTTATTCTATGTGTGTATATACATACACATATATGTAGAAGTAAGTGCCTATATAGAATATATTCTATGTATGTGTATACATACATATATATATATATATATATGTAGAATGTTTGCAAAGTGACCATTTGGTATTGGATAAACAACTGGTACACTCTTGCTTATCATTCTAAAGGAGGGACACAGTCATTAGTCCTTCCCACCTAGTAGCTATGACTGCGACATCTGCTTCTTTCTTTGAATTGCACTTTTCTGACATTTTCCTACTGGTTTGAACTCTGAACTGTTTTCAACCAACAATCAAAACAAGGCTTGCTTAACTCATTTGTTGCTTCCTTTTCTCCACCTGTAAATTCGTCATCCTTCTAAACTGCTTCACATGGTGAGCACAGAGGTCTGCTGATCCATGCTTGTCAAAGTTCTACTCAGAGTTTACAGAGAGGCGAGGATTCACTTGGAGAAATAGAATTATGATTAACATCCTAGCTTCTTCAATTGAGTTTGCTTTGATTCAACATAATTATTAACACACATCACAAAACAAGCACACACAAACACAGATGAAATAACCACTTGGCTAAAATTAGTTTAAAGTCAAGTTTAATAGGTGTCCCCCACTTACCCACGACATCCTCTGTATACACAAATTTGTACAGAAATGGATTTTTAAGATGTTTTGCCTCTTGTCCCCTCTCCCCTTGAGAGGTCATTCTGTGCTTTTTCTACTCAACATTACTGAAATAAAGGAAAATGACCAAACTGTGAGGTGTAGAGGGCTTGGCTCTAATGACCAAGGTATGAGGTTGTAGGAGGTCCAGCTCTGCTCGCTTGCCACTGAGCGAGTCTCCTGGTCAAAGTTTCTAGTGAGGTGAGCTGCTTTTCAAATCTCAACTGATTTGTGTCTTGTTCCTTCCCTCCAGGTATGCTTGCTTTTCCAAGTATGGTCTTGGCATTCACTAGTATTAACAGTAGGGAAATCGTAGTAACACAAGGAGATTTGATGAAGCTACTTGGAGAACCTACGGGAAACTCCATGTTTCTTGAGGCTCTAATTATCCGATAATTCTCAGGGGTCTACTCAAATCCTGTTACCATTATATCTGATTCATTAAAGAAAGAAAGCTCGATGTAACATGTCCCCCAAAACTGAGGCTTGCCAGAATTAGGACTCAGAAGCTTTTCTCGTAATAGAGTGTGTTCCACCCCCACCCCCCAGACCAGGTTTCTCTCCAGCTTTGGAGCCTGTCCAGGAACGAGCTCTTGTAGACCAGACTGGCCCTGAACTCACAAAGATCCACATGATCCTATTCCCCTAGTGCTCAAACTCCTCCTCAAAGCAATAATTAAAATTGTGGATTTCCATTGTTGAGGATTTGAGGTTTTCATATGAAGTAACGGTCTTCAGGTTGGTAAGAGCAGTATACAGGGGGCACTCTTTAGTAAGGTCTCACTTGCACGTGATATACACTGCAGGTAACTGAAGCACACACAAGCATGGGCACCAGCACACCTCTGTCCTCCCCTGCACAGTCCTGCCTCACTGTCAGCATGCCTTCAGCAGGAGGGAAGCAAGAGACCGCCGGGTTTGGACAACAGGGGTCTCACAGCAGATGCTCTTGGGGAAAAATGGATACGCCTGATTGTGTTTCCAACACAATTGAGCTACTTCAAACTAACAGACAGCTAGAGGGCCTCAAATATAAACATTTTCTTTCTAGCTGCCTCCTCTCTGGCAACCTTGCCAGACCATCCCAGTCTGGATCTGGTGCCTGCCTCTGGGCTTCTCCCTGCTGTTGCAGTGATCATGTTTCATCCCATTGAACACTTCTCTTAATGGTCCTCGCCCTTGAAATCCAGCTCTTCGAGGGATCAGGTTGTATTCTGCTGGGGCCGATTCGTAGCTCGGCAAACATTAGATGAATGAGTGAACGGTGTGACGTCACACAGTCCGACCTTTGCAAGTGACCTGTGGGACTCAGTCCTGTGGTAGCGCTTTCAGGCGGAATGGGCAGTTCAATATTTCTCAGGCAGGCAGCAGAATGAATAGATAAGCTTGATGAATACGACCCTCTTCATCAGATGGAATCAGAGCTAGGCTCACATTTCCTGAATGCCATTCTGAGCATCATCCCCTCTCATTTCTACCTTCTGTCCTTATACATATGTGAAGTTATTGTCTGAATAGCATTGGTAACAGAATATTTAGCATTGCTTAACCTTCTTGATTATTTGATATGTTAGGAAGAGAGGCAAACAGTCAGAATTTCATGTATTTTAGAAAAATAAAATATTATATTTTCCTACTTTGTATGTATGTAGCGTAAGTGCGGATGTGTTTGGTGTGTGTGCACATGTATTTACGTGTAGAATATGTATATATGTGCACATGTATATATGTGTAGAAGCCAGAGGTTGATGTCCGATTTCTAGTTAATAGAGTTAATGTGTCTTCCCCATATCCTGTCTTCACTCTTACCTGTTTCCTACATACAGAATTTTTCCATGGACATAAGCAGGTTTGTATGTATGCATTAGTTTTTATTCTGATGGGATTGCTTGGTATGTGGTTTATATTGGCTTTGTCTCTCAATGTTGCAGTTTGAAACAGAACAACCTTTGTCTCCCTGGCACTCATATCCTGTGAAATGGAGAACACTCAATGTTGTATATAAACTAAATCAGCATTCTGGTGAGGAAACCAGAGTCTGTAGAGGAATGCCAGTGTGGGGGCAAATGCGAGTCCCTGAGTGTGCTGATCAGCACAGCCCAAGACTGAGAGAGGCACTATGGTCAGCCCTGTGCACAGCCCTGTGCAGAGCCCTCTGCACAGCCCTATGCACTTCTGCTCACGTACATCACCTGTCCATACACTTTGGTCCTCAGGTGTTAGAACAACGTATCTTTCTTAATAACAAGAAAGAAAATGTTCCCTTTTCATGATGCCTTACAGAGTTGCTAAGAACCAGCTTCATAATCAGTAGAGACAATATTATGGGCTCTTTATCATTTTACAAATGAAGGAAATGAGCCCGAGTAAAAGCCATGTAATTCTGCAGTGTATTTGCATTTATTGCTTTTCAGGACAACAGCCTGTGACATCTTCTTGGAATTGTGCCCAGTCCTCTGGATTCTGAGGTTAGAATGAAATTCTGGGTAAAGGGCTGTCTGGTGTGACAAGTGTGATTGTTCCTGCTCTACTGCTTTAGTTCTGAGATGTGGAGGCTCATGGACCAAATTGGTGCAAACAGACGCAGTCACAGTGGCTCACACATTTTACCAGTGAACCTCATCACTGAAAATATTAATTTTCTAAAGTAGACAACATTTTTAATATCTGCCTCATAGAGTGGTGAGTACAAATAATTAAGAGTTTCATTTATTCAATAAATATTGATTGATTGATGACATGGGGGATTAAAAACACAGTTGTTGCATATTTTAAGTTCATATCATTGAGCTCGATCCATAGTCTTACTAATATTCATTAAACGATTGTTATGTATCACAACCTGCATGCATCAGTGAGGCTTTTGTAGTGAATCAAACGTACCTCTAACCCTTATGAAGCCTAGAGCCTGGGGGATGAACAGTTCCTTACACAGAAAAAAAAGGCTCAGTTAATATTGTTGACAAGTTTCTAAAGCACTGCTTTCTTGCTCTCTCTTTAAAATTTAACCAAGATCACCTCTCAGTGATTGGCTATGTTCTCAGTCTTACACATCGTTATACTTCTGTGGAAGTGAAGAACACATCTATCTTCCTGCCATGGACCTCCCCCGTTCACATTCTTCTTGAGCTAAATACTAACAGAAAATTTGCCATGCATTCCATACTATGCTGCTTTAAAAATCAGCTTTGAAACTGGCCTGCCCATATGTGAGAGCTTACACATGGAACATAAGGATAAATCCACCTGATAAAAAGCACTTTGAAAATCTGGTTAAGATTACTTACTTGATGTCAACCAAGCATCTCAGTCTATGTGCCAATTTCGCATGTCTGAGAGTTCTGCCAGGCTCTGCCTAGTCAGAGCATGCCTAGCAAGAAGAAACTGCATGTCCAAGAAATCAGCTTAGGAGCCTCAACAGAGGGAGTGCCAGCCTGGTGAGGTCCACGTGAGACCTGCCCAGGAATGCGAAGAAAGGTTAGCGAGGTTAGAGGGTAAACACAGCACCACACGCTTGGTAAGTTCTACAAGTGAGTCTTGCATGCAGGGGCATTTGGTTCCGTGTACTGAGCTGCAGATGTCTGTTTGAACAGCGGTGTCTGCTAGAGCTACAGCGGTGAGGCTGTCTGCTCCAATCTCTGCTGGAAAAACGGCAAGGAACTGGGTCAACACAGCACATGACTTTAATATCTTCCATCTGCCAGATAAACTAATTTGGAGAAAAAATGAACATGTGAGCAAGAAGTATTAAAGTTTTTCTTTTTTTGTGATAACATCTACACATGTTTCAAAAAGCCCAGCCACAGAGAGTTAGTGTTCCTCTCACTGCGAGAGGGCGGAAGCTGCTCTCGCACATGCAGACTTCGGTGCTGCAGATGGCAAGAATTCCAGGCTTCCCCGGATTAACGCAGAACCTACCTTCCTCCCTCGCAGGCACTGCTGAAGCTCTGGCTTGGTGAGGATGTCATGTTGGCAGTTGTGTGGCTGCCAAGTTATTTCTCTCCAGTCACAGGTCCTGTTGTCTGAGCAACTGAGGCAAGGCACAATCCACTGGCCTGGAATACACAGCAAGACTAGATGTGGCTTGGTGTCTGCTGGTGAAATTACACTTTGCAGACACAGGAGTCAACATCACGCAACCACAGAAGTCAATGTGAGAGGCCACTCTCACCTAATAAATCCAGTGGGAAAATGTATAGCCGCCTGTCAGTCAAGCAGGAGAGCGGCAGGATGGCGTGTTGTGAAGTTCGTGCTGAAGTCAGGACGAGTTCTGGCCTATCAAACTACAGAAGTACGAAGGAAACAGGGAACTGTGCGCTACTCAACCATTAACTTGCTTTGGAAATTCCACAGGACTAACATCAATTGGGAGTCCCCAAGTTGTAAGTGGGCCTCGGACATTAACCACCCTGTCATGTGACCAGTTTACCAGTACAATAAGGGGCAGCTTCCCTGTGCACAATAAGTTTTAAACGGAAGGGAGATGCATCAGTGTTTTGACAATTTATAATTTTTAAGACTGGTTATCATTCCTTCAATAGATTGATGACATGTTGGGTGTGATGATTTTCAGGTTTTTTTTTTTTTTTTTTTTTTTTTTTTTGTAGCTGTGCCCTCAGTTTCCTCAAAGCGTAGACGAGCTGAGTGGTGTGTGCGGTGTGAGGATGCAACGGGACAACGTATCGAAATCAGAGCATGGTGGTCAGCTACCTGTCCCTGTTGGCAGAGTGTTTCTGATTTTGGATTAATAAAGAATTTTTTAAAGCCCCTATTTACTTGTTTTGTGGGGATTGCACTGCAGGTGGAGGCTGCCAGCAACTTTGGGGAGCTGGTTCTTTCCTCCCATCGTGTTGAGGCAATGGGGTCTCATTTGTCTGTTATGTGCACTACTGCATTGCTTTCTCCGGGACAGTTAGTCAGGAAGCTTCTGGAGGATTCTCCTGTCTCCACCTTTCATTTCCATAGGAGTTCTGGAGCTACAGCCCTGCAGCATCCGACCAGGCTTTTTACATGGGTTCCAGGGACTGAACTCGGGTCGTTAGACCATGCATCTTGTGCCTGTACCCACCGAGCCATCTAGCTCTCCAGCCTCAAGACAAATTTAAAATAAAACTTTCTACCTTTTCCGAGTCTGATTTGTGGGGCTGTTTGCAAAGTCTCTAGTGTGCTATGGATTGCAGGGGAGAGATTTTCCACCTTCAGGACATGAATATAGTACCTATTATATTCACGACCTCAGGGGTGTCAGAATTGTGTATGCGGGTGTTGGTGCATGTCGGAACGGTTGTAAATAATAAACTACAAAGTGAAATACAGTGCAGGGCCTTTATAGATCTGCCACGGGAAGGGGGGAAAACCATCAGCATATTAAGAGGAAGAAGCTGGCAGGGGAAAGAAATAAAAAGAAAAGGACAAGAGGAAGTTATGAATTACAAGGAAGGACAAGAGTGTACACGAGAGTAACTTTAGCAGGTAGAGGATGAACTGAAGCGGGAACACGCCACTCAATTTTCCTGAAATGTAGGCATATTTGCTCTTCTCGACATACATTTTTCTTTTCCCTTGCTTTCAAATGTAAAAGAAAATCAGAAATTGCCTTATTCAGTGTCTAAACACAAGTATTTTCAGCTTCAGAAATGCTCGTCATCACTATTCTCTCCTTGGCAGACCATTATTATTATTATTATTATTATTTTAGCATACTTCAGGCATCAAGGATGGATCCCAGTGAGGTATTAGGTGCTACAACATTAAAATGTCACAGGAATATAAGAATAGCTTTGACATGCCAGCTGTATTTAAGAGGTTTAGCATATTAACTTATTTACCTCCTCGGAACTATCTTGCCACCTCTCCAGCTGGAAGTCAGGAAGGTGAGTAATCTGTTGATTTTCATTGAGAAGGCAGTGGAACAAGAATCTGAGCGGAGCAATTGGAGCCCACACTTTTAATTATAAACCTAAGTCTAAGAAACAAAAACATTGATATTCAGATTTCAAGGTTACCATTTATGCATTAAGATCGTAACAGTATCCAATCGGTACTGCAAAATTGAGTAAAAATGTCTGCGATGGTGAACTAACTCAGGCTGTGGAGATGCACAGGTCCCCAGGCTCCGCATCCTCCTGTTAGCGTGTGGAACTCATTGTTGATTGCAAATCTGACTCAGAAAGCGTTTGAAATCCTTGTACCTAGGGTACATACTGGTGCAACATTAACTATGAGATTTAACCATCTATTTTAAAATATTCTACAGTAAAGCCAAGGTTACAACTCACTGTTTCCCTTGGACAAATGACTTGATATTTTTATGATTAAATTTACTACTTTATAAGGAAAGTATGTGTGCACCTGCCATGGTGCCTGGCGCGTAGCTGCCCATCAATAGATTTTGGTCCTGTGTCCTAACCACAAGTATGCCATGGTGGTTCATCGGAAAGTGAAAACAGAGCTTTCTGGAAATTTCACTGGATGGACTTTCCTGAGAGACGAGTTTCAGAAACATTGAAGGCATGATATTTTTGTGAACCATGAAGGGATGAGTCCATCAGGAGTGAGAGAGGACTGACCTCTGCATCAACTGCACACACAGGGAAAACTGCGTGGAGGTTGATATCACAGACTGCAGATGGAGACAGAGAGGATAGTACTATTGCTCAAAGGTGAAGGGGACACAGAGGGTTGTCAATGGCAAAGGGATGAGATTTGTCTTCAGAGGGTGTGCAGATTCACCTGGGATGGAGTTGGAAGGGAACTCAGAGCTGGTCCTTACCACACTCTTGTTTCACAGATGCAGTAAACGAAGGCATCAAGAAGTAAGTGAGTGAAATGAGTTTAATCCCAGAGCCGGATCATAATCAGGAATCTCCAGTTTGTTGATTCTGATATCACGTTAGGCCACCTTAGTATAGATCACCAGTTGACAATGCCATACAATCCACTAGTTCTTTTGGAAGAACCTCATTATCTGATTATCTTAATGGTTTTTTTCTTTAAGTTTTAAAAAGTTTAATTTAAGGGTTGGAGGGATGGCTCAGTGCCTAAGAGCACTGGCTGTTCTTGAAGAGAACTTGGATTCAGTTCCCAGCACCTCCATGTGGTCTACAACCATCTGTAACTCTAGTTCTTGGTCTTCACAGACACCTGATATGTACCTGGTACACATCCATGTAGACAAAACAATCACGTAAAATAAAATATTATTGTTTTTTGAGTTGAATTTATTTAGTGGCTGTGTGCGTTGGTAAAGACAGTGCTTGATAGTTTTCTGAAAGAATGATGGTGTGTTAGGGAAGTGTCTTATTTCTTCCTTTCTTTTTAAACCTGTCATTCAAAGAGTGTCACGTATTCAGAACACTTTTGGTTCTTCAACCTTGCTGATAGCTAACTTTCCACAAACTAAAGCTCTCCATGGCTACTTCTGCTGTGAAGAAAAGGTGGTGAGGCTGAGCTGCAGGAAGCAGTCAGACACGGATGTGATGAAGCCTTACACACACTGGAAAAGGCTTGATTTGGTATCTGCAGACTTGGCCTTCATGTCACGAAGCATTACATATTTATACACCCACGACTTTTTCTATTTTTTAATCAGCTAGCAATGCCTTTATTTACTGTGAGTTGAAGTAGCCATCTGTATAACATCTGTGAGGCTGGGATTCTTGGCATCTTAGATGATACCAGCTCTTAACTAAAACTGTCAAAAGGAGGAGGGACATAAGCCCTAGGCTATGTATTTAAGCGCTGAGTGAATCCAAGCTACAACTTTTGAAATGAAGTATGATACATATTATAATACATCCCGAGGAACAAAGCTGTCTCTTAGAAAAGTTGTTTTCTTTGTACTTCGAGCTCTGGGCTGAATGCAGATGAGATTTCAGTCACTTGAGTGGATCATGTTTTTATCTTTCAGAACCACAATGGACATAAAACCATATAAATACCAAAACAAATTTTGTTATATAACCTCAAAATAAAGATCTTTTTGGTGAATAAAAAGCCTACATTATAAATGTTAAAAGTACTAGAGTTCTGTCCCACTTTATTCCAAAAATGAGCTATAGAGAAATCTTTTCATTGTTTATATAAGATGATTTGAACTTTTTTATTTAATGATTATTGTATATATACTTCTTTTCTCTAATTTAGAAATATTACTTTTACTTTATTGGGCAATTATTATCTTGTTTACAAGAGAATGGAAATCACTTAAGGGATAAAAAAGAAATACAGTATTTCAAAGATATTCAAATTAGTGTAATCGATAAAAGACAGTTTGGCATTATCATATTAGAGGTAAAAAGAATGGATCCAGTTTTGAAATTGTAGCACACTATTAAAATAGCTTCGTGGGCCAGGGAATGTTCAGCTAAACACATAACTGCTAAGTAGATTTCGTTCCAGCATCATCTACCATGACAACTTCTCCCTTCACACCGAGGAAGTCCTGTTATGAAAGATGAAATTATCTCTGGGAACACACAGTACCTTCTAGAAAATTATTGTCTAGAAAAATTTGCCAGTATGTTAGAGTCTCTCTCCCTCTGCCTATCCTCCTGATTGTGTAATAGATTTTTGTGGAAGGAGGAAAGGTTCAAATTTTGGTTTAGTTCAGTAAACCATTTTTTTTTTCTTTACTCTCTACTAGACATTGGAAGACAATTTATGTTCTCCAGAGATCTAATCTAGAGAAGCCATCAGTAAAAACATACTACTCAGGTGCCCTTGACGTCTTAGCATATCCACACTGTAAGATGTGCAGGTACTCCTATGCTTATATATTGTGTCCTTCGTAAAACATGAAAATAAAAAATGATTAGAGACAGAGCAGATGCACATATATTTTCAGCTCTGTTCGCTTCATTGCCAGGACTACTCAGTGCCGCTCCCTGCTCTTCCTGGTGTATATCATAGCATTCTGGAGACCACTGGTCTCAGGCACACTTGAAAGAGCATACATCCGAAAGAGCGGGAAGTCGGCACTGGGGTACTACCATGCCTGGATTGCTCTGGGGACATAGAGAAGCTGCCCTGGCAATGTGCTGGAGAGAGGCTGGCTAGAGAGGAGGGCGTGGCATCCGATGATGGGACATGTCAGGAAAGCCTGTGCAGGCAGTAGAACAGATGGGTGAAGGGCTGGAAATCCCAAAGCTGGATTATCAGCGTAAAGTGAGTGCAGGAGGCGGAGAGGTGGGAGGGGATTCCAGGGAAGAAGTTGCGCAATTTCAGGCTCTAAAGCACTGCAGTCCGGCAGTCCATGTGGAGGCCTTCTCTAATGTGGGGGTCTAGCAGTGTACCAAATCAAGTCCATGCAAATAAGTATCAGAAGGCAGTTTCTCCGGGATGCCCTCCTGCACCCTGAAGTTCAGGCAGATGTCCCAGGGCCTAGCTGACGTGCCTGCGCACTTCCCAGGCTAGAATACTGCGTCTCCTGAGCAGCCAGTGTCATGGACTTAGCGTGGAAGAGCTTTGGACTCCGTTGTTGTACAACCGCGTAGAATTAAGTTGTTTTATGATTGTCATAAATTGTCAACTGATCCAAACAATACGGAACTGGACACATAGGTGTCTTCTTTGAAGGTTGAATCTGTATCTCCTTCAGCAGTCAGACACAGATCACGGCGTCTGACCCTACTTAATAGGCCAGTCCCTCCCTGACTGAAGTTTATTATATAGAACACATGTCCAAAAATGGGACATACCCACGTCTGCTAACTGCATGCCAAATCGCAATTTGCCCTGCCCATTTGGGAAACACATTTCCCGTTCCAGCAGCCTGGTGAAGTAAGCAAGGCTGGAGCAGCTGTTTGGGCTCTCTCGGGCCTTTCTGAGGAGCGGAATCCTGGGGTCAGGATGGAGCAGTAACCAGGGCAGTTGAAGAACACATGCCCTGAGTCTTAATCTCAGCACCAGTTTAGCTCCTGCTGGAAGAACACTGAGAGGAGGAAGACTTAGAGAGTGGAGTCACCAAAGTCTCATTGCAGATCCGCCCGTGGCTCAGGCAAGATTTAATGCTGCAACCTGAGTCTGATACCCTCATTTCCCTCCTTGTATGAATGCTCAAAATATGAGGGATATTTGTGGCCATTCCCAATCTCTTTTCTACAATGAGGAGGAATTCTTTAAAACTGGATATTTCTTTTCTATCCACCATGTGTGAATTAGGAATAATTTGCCCAAGTATGTAGTGACTTGCTGTAACACCAAAAAGGGGACTGGGGATATTTATGGATAAGGGTGCTTGCTTCTGGGCCAGGGGACCTGAGTTTGTTCCCAGAAACCCACATGATAGAAAGAACTGACTCCTGCAGGCTGTCCTCTGACCCTTTTGTGCTCTCTCTCCTCTCTCTCTCTCTCTCTCTCTCTCTCTCTCTCTCTCTCTCTCTCACACACACACACACACACACACAATAATGTAATAAAAAATACAGTGAACAAAAGCCAGCTTCCTGCCCTCATGAAACTAATATTTTGGGAATGATGACACTCAACAATGAATTACAGACTTAACTGAATCATAGAGATTGCGATGCAAGAGAAGCACAGAGTTAGGAAATGAGTTAGAGGCTAAGAGAAGGCTCCTAGCAGACTGATCACCAACCTGCAATTTCTAGATGGCTGCGGGTCAGGAAGGAAGCATGCAAAGGGTTTGATTAATCAAGGGTTTCAAATATAAAAACAACGCATTTACATTTATAATATGCCTCGCTGTTTATGTGGGTTGAAAAGGAAAACCCTTCTTTAACACGAGGGCAGACTAATTAAGCACGTGCTTGTCTCCTAAGGGATTTATTCTGGAGAAAGGATATCCATGTGATCACCTTTCACGTCCCCAGATAGGCAACTCTCTATTGTAGGCTGCGAAATGGCTTCAATGTAGTCCAAAGAAATAGGCTGCAACCCACAGGCTTCTTCTGGGTTAACCAATAAGCCACAGTCCTGCATTAAAATGAGAAAGAGATTAGCTATCACATCATTAATAGATCCCTTGGTAAAAAACATAAGCAGTAAGATACAAGGCAGGGTCCCGGAACTTACTAGCTGGCCAGTGTAGCCTACTTGGTGAGTTCCAGGGTCACCTACCTGGTGACTCCTGAGGTTGTTCTGCATGCATGTGGCCACACATGAATGCCCATCTGCACACATGCATGTGCACCTGAACAGACATTTCACACTTGAACACACACACATGCACACCCACCCACAAACACACACCCACACACACGCATGGATTTTTTTTTGTGACAAATCAATTTTAAGGATGAAAGGAACACAGAGTCAGTGGGTGTTAGAAAAGGGCCCTTTCCCCGTAGTTGGGAATACTGTGTGCTCGTTGTATGGAAAGAGATAACAGTAAGACGTTGGAAAGAGCTAACTAGACTTGGGAATTTCAGACCGAGCCAAACCGTGAACTGTTACTGTTACCAAACTGTGAAGGGGAGAGAGAGGAGATAAAGGAATTGCATCCCAAGACCTCAAGTTCTGTGGCAGGCTGTCTTATGTGCCTGCACAACAGCCACCCGTATTTCCTTCCTACTTTCCTTTGACTGTTTTTGTTGATGTTGGAGGTAGCTATGTGTTCCATGTTTAAATCTAATCGATTTCCTAGCATTTCTTGTAGACAAAACTGGCCACAGGCAGAGCTGTTGTCCAATTTCAGGAGTGGATTTCTGGGAAAGATTGATTTAATTCCCCAGTGGAACATTTCCCTTGTCGCGCTGTCTCCTTGCACACGAGATGCGAGAGTGAGACTACAGAACGAGCGGCCTTCTGAAATCATGAAGCAGCTGGAGCAGAAAGCGTATAGATGGCTGAGTGGCGGTACTTCTGCAGATCCCACAGAGACTATAGAAATGTAACCGGCAGATAGCATAGTGGGCTTAAAAATCTATTTGGATTTCACTTTTCCTCATTTTCCTCTCTGGAAAAGAAAATTAATAATAGGCACCCTTGTCTATTTCCCAAAATGGAGTGGTCCTTTGTGTGAGTCGAAGCCTGCATTTCTGTGATGTAAAATTTCTTCTTAAAAACGACAACAACAACGAAACAATTTTAATGTTTTTTTTAAATTTAAATGTATTTACTTTGTGGGGACATATAAATGTGTGTGCCACAGGACATGTGTGGAGGCCAAGGGACAGCTTGAGAGGGAGGTTGCCTGGCAGTTTGAGGGAACTGGTTCTCTCCTTCCACAATATACATTTCCCAGATTTGAACTGAAGTCATCAGTCTTGGCAGCAAGCGCCTTACTCTCTGAGTCACCTCAGTGTCCCCCGGAATTTGTTCTCTTGCTCTACCCTTTTATGGCACCCTGCCTTTCAGGATAGGGTTGTGGCAGCTGGAGCAACTGTTATAGGTTCGAAGGGAAAAGTCAGAGCTGTGATGATACAGCTCTGCCTTCCCTGGTCTGCAGCCCCTGCTGCTGGGCGTTTTGGTGTGTACGAGTCAAAGAGAGCTTGCTTCAGTCTCTATTAACTGGGTTTGGGGGGTCACTCACAAAACAGCTACATTTGACCTTACAAGTTACCATCCCCAAATCTGTCCTGTACCCTATAAGCTCATCAGGAGCTCACTAGGCCCCGTTTCTAGGTTCAACTTGTTACCAATCTCTCTTCATTTTCCCTAGCATCCCACAAATCCCCAGGCCTTTGCTTAGACTGTGTCCCTCTGACTTCATTCTCTTCCCTCCTGACTTCCACTGATGCCATGTGGACCTGTGCATTTGTATTTATTTACCATTGGATTTGACCTCTTCATGGATCTCTCTTGTCAGCCCTCTTGCCCGCCCTTTCATCTGTTTCCTGTATTGTTGCTAAATGCCTTTCCCACACACAAATCTTATTAACTCCTCTTTCTGCTGGAATGCATTCTCTAGACTGTATGGCAAGTATTGACTCAAATAGCCGCTGGTTTGTCCAGGGTACCTTTCTCTCTTGTCTTTACTTCCACAGCTGTCTGCTCCCCTTCACTCTCATCTCTTCTGAGTAGCTGGCTCTGATGCTCGGGTGTAGGGTGTGTGTGTAATCGCTCATTTCTTATTGACCTATGGTCACTTTCTTTTTCACTTAGTCCCTGGCTGTGAGAATGGAAAGGCTGACTTCTATGTTTACAGTTTCTGTCTCTATAGTCTGCCACTGAGGACACACAGATAAGCAAGTGTATAATGTTAACCTGTAGATGCACTGTTGAGGACATGGAAGATGTGGTGTGTACCTGTGTGCTCCTCAAAGCGACAGTCAGGTTATTGTCTTCCAATTGTGAGGAGAAATGATAAAAGTAAGTTTAGCTGGTAGTATTTCATCCTAAGGTCTTTAAAAACAATTTTTTAAAAAAGTACTTCCATTTCTTTTATTTAGGATATGTCATAAAATATGACCCCTAAACTATAGAACACAACAAAAATTAAATGATGCTAAACGAAACGCTTAGAATATTGTTGGAGAATATTGCTTAAATCATCAGAAAATGAGTGCTCCAGAAACAAAATTTTACTTTTTCTTCAAAATCCATCATAAGGGCCTTCTGAGAAACTTTCAAGGTGTCCTGTAAGATATGATATTCCATGAGGAGTACTGTAAAATGAAAAATTTAGATTTAGAGATCTGCCAGAACTTTGATTGAAGTTCTTCTGTGAGACTCAATGTACAGTTTTGATTTTGAAACCTTTGTTTCTTTTTGGCAAGAATATGTTTTTCTTAAGCACATACTGAAAAATAAGATCATATGTCCCGAGTTGAATGTTGCTCAAATTTCAGATGCCTATTAAGGAAAACTACACCATAAATAAGCATAACTTGGGCGATACTTAAATGAATATGGCCATTTATATACTTAGGGTATGCAAAGCTTTATTGTTATAAAAGTTCCATCTTCACAAATAAAATAAGAGACATTAAGTAAACATACTTAATTTGTTAAATATGCATCAAGTAACTCTTCTGCTCCATGAGCACTGGAAAGAGTATCAATTGCTAGCTGGAGTTTCTAAGATGCCTTCCTCATGGGAGAAAAAAAAAACTAACAAAAGCTCCACATTCTCCAATATGAAACTGAAGCATAATGATAACAATAATGCTGGTTGAAATCACCATGCATTTCTTAGCATCCTCTATACACCAGCGCACATACTAGGTAATTTATAAATACTCTCTTTTTTTCCCTCATGACAGTTTATCAATTTAGAGATAAGAAAAGAGGAATGCTGTGTGAGGTAGGGTTTGAACTCAGGTCTACCTCACTTTAGAACTCAGCTGCCTCACCTCAGCATATTGATGACGCTCCTAAAGATAGGGTAAGATGCTGCTTTCAACATCTGAGTTGAGGCTTTCTGGGAAAGGCCCAGTCCTTTTTCTGTTGCGCCCTACTTTCACCCAAACCCCATTTAGTATTTGGCTGGGTCAAGATTCAGCTATATATGGACTGAGTTTGGTATATATTAGTCTACAATGTGAACTCATGGCAACAACCATGTATGAATTAGCATGTGATAATCACTTTAAACATGGCTCCGAATTGAAAATAATGCCAGTGGATAGCATCAATGAAAAGGAAGAGATTCATTCAACGATGGGCCCCACTGCCAGCTAATAGGCCATCAGAACAAAGACAAATGAGAAACAAAAGTCATTATGTCTTACAGACAGCCTGGCATGCTATAATTCCAACTTGCCAGACAAGAAGTGCCATTGGCGCAACAGTGGCATGAAGATTATAAGGGTAACCAACCACATTCAGCTTATTTCTGAGGCCTGTGCCACAAAAGAAAATTCATGCATGGTACTATTAGCATATTCCAAAGCCCATGGCTTAGGAGGTGGGCCTAAGTGGGGGGAACCTACTACTGCTATATTGCATATGTTTTCAAGTTGCTTCATATATATGTATGTATGTATGTATATATATATATATATATATATATATTTCTACCCACTTATTAATATTGTCCTCAACCTCGGTCAGAGATGCTTTTCCCTGCCGTGGGTTTTATTGGTGTAAAAGTTCCAAATTTACAAACATAACAAAAGACGTTAACTAAGCATGCTTAATTTGTTAATAAGAGGCTAATGCAGAGACTTACAACTGGTCAAAGGGCTGAGAACAAGTGATAACTGAATACTCAACCTTAAGGGTAGATCTGTGCCAAACCCCCTCCTAATGCTTGAGGAGCATCACAGAAGAGAAGGCAGAGAGGAGGTAAGAGCCAGATGGCAGGGAAGAGAGCTGTGGATGTTGTCTCCTGGACACGACAGACCCACTGCACTCGTGAACTCATAGCTAAGGTTACCTCTATAAGACTTGCACTTCTTATAGAATGCTTGAACCCACACAGTGAAGAACCATCACAGAGCATGAGACCACTGTGTTTCTTCCCTAAGCAAGTGCCAAGGGACTATGGCCGAACATTGTATTATGAAAGTATTTTAAGTTGGTCCACAAGAACTCAGGAGGAAGGGAAACCGAAACAAATTACAAGCAGATGAATTCATTATTTTCCATTAAATATACTAATATGATGTCGATATTTGGAACACTTCTTCGTGTTTCTCATGCATTCCACACCTCTGAACTAATATGAAATTTTGTTTTCAACTTAGACCTCAAATCAGTTGAGATGGGGGTCCCTGTGGTCCTGAAGGCTGAGGTCCACTCTGAAAAGTACACTGCAGTCCTGATGGAGAAACGTACATGTGTCTCTGGGCTTTGTAGGATTTAGACTGGAAAATCTGTGGGTACGGGGCTTGTGAATGACTAATGCTTCCCACTTCCAGGGATCTAGAAACCCCAAGGAAGGCAGCCTTTCTTGTGGTCGCTCAGCACTTTTGGTTTTGGTTCCAGCTGGAATCCAGAAGGGCAGATATAAAGGCAAATGAGAAGGAAAAACTGAATTTATATGTTTGGATATCTGAAAACGCTCAGCCCCTTTGGATTCATGAACAAAG